CAAAATCAAACAAAATTCTAAAAAGTAACTAACAATTTTCCAAGTTCTCGTTAGTGTCTCCAAAACGTGGCATAACCGGAGGGCGATATCTGTTTTTAAAAATATTAAATATAATCCAAAATTCCAACCCTTGTCTTCCCAATTTCTTTCGTCTTCTACCAAATTTTGCTTTATAATTATTTCGTTTTTTAGTCATATAATAAAAATAAACGCAGTCTTTTACACTCTTCAGTGGCAAAAATGCTGATATTGCGGCAAAATTTTTCTAAAAAATTTGTAATTTAAAAAAATTATTTAAAAAATACCCCATAAACAGCAATCTTTTCATTGAAAACAGCCTTTTCAGAATCTGACCAAGCAATTTGAAAAGCTTCTAATTGGGCACGAGAGTCAGAAAGTGCATTTTCAACAATTCCATTCCTACAATTTTAAATATAATAAATGCAAACTTCAAATATTCTCCAATAACGTAATTAATAAGTTCCGCTTTAAAAATTCAAAAAACCGAGACGGTTAATCTTAAAGGGTTAACTTAATACGAAGAAAGCATTTACTAACATCTTGATAAAATCCCCCAACTTCATCAGTACGTGTTTTCTTTGAGACTAGAGTATCTCTCTAATGTAAATATATCTAGAACCCCACAGATATCATAAAAAATCTGTAAACTATAAATTAACAAACCTGTTGTCAAAAAATCGTCCAGGACGGTTTGTATAGACTGGAGGCACAACACAACTAGCAACCACTTTTTCATCAATTTCTGATGGTTTATTGCTACATGTCTTAAAAATTAAAAATCAAAAAAAATTAACAAAAATTAAACTTCTTGTTTATCTTCTTCTTGATCAATCTCCATTTTCTCTTCCCCCATTTGTGTGACATTTTGTGCTTCAGCAAACAATGGAGAAGTTAATGGGGGAATATTTGCAATTCCTCCTTGAGTCAAAGAAAATCGAATACGTTCAACTCCGCGATTACTTCGTTCCTTTTCTTCACGCATTTTTCGAAGTTCAACAAACGTCTTTTCAAAAATCTTAAAAAAAAGATTAAAATCTTCCGTTTAGAATCTACCCTCGAATGGGCATTTCACCAAATTTCAAAAACAAGATGTTAACTATTTATAGTATACTCCTAGGTTGGATGCCCCCTCGGTAATATTAACAACAAAAAAGACATCGGTTCACGGGGTAACAGATAAATCATTCAACCCCTTTTCATAAAAAATGTTAATTTTAAGTTTAAAATAAACTCAAAAATGAATAATTAGGTTATAATTCTTACTTAATTAAATGAAATAAACCTTAAATAAAATATCAAAAATTAAAAACCTCTCGATGTTTACCGTCCCTAACCAATTTCTTTTTATTTTTCTCATGAGCATTCACTTTCTTCTCCCAAATAGTCAATTGTTCCTCGTAAACTATCTTTTTCTGTTCCACAATATCTTGACGTTCTTCTCTTCGAATTCGCATTGCTTTAATTAAATCAGGCAAAAGTTGAAGTCCCCGTTCATATTCCTCTTTTAAACGAATTGTGTCCTCTTTCATTAATTGACGATTCTGAAGTTTAAAGAATAAAAATTTTCTAATCTAAAAAGAAAAACTTCTTCTGCAGAAATTAATGGAGGAATTGGATTCGCCGCTGCCGCCTTTCTTCTATTTTCAGCATAAATTCGATTAATAAGAGCATCAGTAGAAGACTGCCCATCTCGACTTTCATCTTTAAAAAATTATAAAACTTTTGTAAATTATTTTTTAAAGTTTAAAAATTTATTGTTGGAGGAATATAACAAATAGAATAATTCACAATATAAAACCAGACCCTAACCTAGCCTTTGGGAAAAAATTTTAACCCCAAAATTTTTAAAATATTTTACGAAAAATAAAAACAAACAATTGTCATCATTCTCATCATTATCCATTGCAGCCATAAAAGAAGGTTCTTGAGAAGCTTTAGCCAACAATTTTTCACAAGCTTTTGCCTTTTTTTCAGCATTTTTCTGCATTGCAGCTGACTGGGTTTTTTCTTTATCAATTTTTTCAAGCTTATCAAATAAAAAACGTTTATATTTTTCCTCTTCTTCCGTCAAATACGAAGTATCAGAAGATGGGGAAATTCCAATTTTGTTAGATTGAATTTGTGCTTGTTGAAGATGAGGTTGAATTAAAGAATAACGAGAATTTTGTGGCATATTACTTCCAAAATCTTGAATTAAGGAAGGCCTTTTTGGTGTTAATTCACGCTAGAAAAAAATTTTTTTTATTAAATTATCAATAAAAAAAGGTAATTTTTATAATGAACAAAGAATTTAAAATAAAATTTTTGACCCAAAAATGTATAAAATAGCCAGATAATAATAAAAAAAAACCCCGAAAAATAAAGTTTGGGACCTTTTTAAATTTTGTGAAAGGTCAAAACTGCCTAAATTCAAACAAAACCTCCATTAAAACCACTAAAATAACCCAATCTAGAAGCGGCTAAAGTTTGTAAAATAAAAAAAGAAACCTGTTGCTGTTGAATATTTGTTAAAGAAGTTTGTGGAACTTGTGGCTTTAAAAATTGTTTAACAAAATCTGACTGTTGCTGTTGGAAATTTCCACGACTAGTACTTTGTAGTAAAGATTGCACTGGCCAATTTAATCCCAATTCTCGAAGTAATAAAGCTTGTTGCTGTTCTTCTAATTGGGCTCTAGTCAATAAAGTATGTTGAGAGCTGTTTGGTGGTCCAGAACGCATAGCTTAATTCGATAGAACCAAAATGAATTTAAAAAATATAAATGTAATTTTGACAGGCTTTTTGTAAAAAAATCAGTTTTCTTTTTTCAGGTAGATGACCATCTGGCGCGGCCTAATGTGGCGTAAACCGATTTGGCGCACCAAAACGTGCCGGGATTCAAAGCAGGCTCTAATGAACTGCTCAGAACTGCGGTGGGTCGATCTGGCTCTAATTCTCATCGATAATAAAAGTTATACCAAAAACAAAATGGGCGGAAAAGTTGCCGCAGTCTATATTTGATATTTTTTTCAGGTTGGGCATTTTATTTTGATTCTACATAGAGAATTAATTAAAAATATCTTTTTAATTCTAAAAGAATTAATATATTAAACAATTATTAGAATATAATTAATATATGGTAAATGTCCAGCTGGTCCACTATATAAAAATGCAACTTTTTCTGCATTCAACATCTTTCCCTCTCTCCTTTAATTTTCCTCGTGTAATCAAATGATAAGCTGACAATCATTTCTTTTACTTCCTTTATTATTTGCGCCAAACTGTCAACCTATCATTTGATTACCTGAGGGAAACTAAAAGAGAGAGGGAAAGATGTTGAATGCAGAAAAAGATGCATTTTTGCAGAATGGTTTTTGCGGACATGTGTCCCTCGAGCTGGATATTTACCTTAATATATTTTTTGATATGATTAGAATAACAAGGGAATATGTATAGTATGTATATGAACAAAAGATTTTAAGCAGAAGTTTCAAATTTCAACATCAAACCCACTCATTATGAGATAAACTCAGTGAAAATTATATCTTATAATGAGATAAATAGTCGGTATAGTAGATAAAGTAGTCCTCATCCTACCCCGTGAAATTAAAAAAACTTATTCTAAACTGAGATTATCTAATTTTAGTGGGTGTCCTTATAGTGAGATTTGACTATATACATAAATATATTCCTCAATATTCCCTTAAGTATATTAAAAACATAACAGTTAATATATAATTGTAATTAATTCTTTTTACAATTCATCAGAAGAAAATAGTTCTTCTAAATTTCCTTTCTCTCCTCCTCTTCCATTTTCCGTCAATTTAGTCGTTGGAATTTTTTGAAAAAAGTTGGAAAGCTTTGGTTGTTGTTGTGTTTGTAGTTTTTGTTGTTGAGAAGAATTTAATTGAGAATTTGAAGGAGAAAATGTTGTTGAAGAAGGATAGGAAAGACTTAACACACTTGTGGCCACAGTAAAGGCAACATGGCTGGAAAAAAAGAAAATTTTTAGTTAAAAAATAGTAAATATTTTTTCAAAAATAATTTTCATATTACAAGGAATATTAGCGAAAAAATATTTATTTATTTCTGTGTTTATTCGATACGAATAAAATATTTAGTAATTGTAATATTCGATACGAATATAAAATAATATTATTTTTTTAAAAAAAGGTAAAAAGATGTGTGACTAATATAAATAAGTATAGAGAGCTATAAGAGAAAAAGGATAAATAAAAAAGAGGAATATTTATATGAAGGTGGATATATATTTTGTTTTAAAAAGAGGAAAAAAAGAAATTGAAGATTAATTGTCTTCCATTGGAGACATTTTGTTGAGTCTGAAAACGAATTTTGTAAGTTTCTTTAAAAAATAGAATTACCATTCCGCGTTATTGTCGTCATCGTCCAATGTATTAGAGATTGAGCGAGATGGATAGCGACGTCTTCTACAAAGAAAAATTGATTTTTATTCTGAAGTTTTTATTTGTGAATAGGATTTCCGGGCAAGACATTTTTAAGCTTGTTGGGTTATCCAGTCATCCTTTTTAAAATTATAGTGAACTTAACCATGGGACTCGAACTCATTGTCAGCGTGGAGAAATATTTCAGGAAAGGACTATTCTTTAAGTACTTCTGAAGTACGTCTCTAATCCAGCATATGGCTCTATTTTAGGTTAAATAATTTCTAGCTAATTTCGAGAAAAATCTAATACTTTTAAATTGGTTATTGTCAAAAACTTAATTTTAACTAATTCATAACTCCCTACTTATTTTTCCCTTTAAAATAAACAAAAAAATTTACAATTTTTCATCAGAGCTTTTACGGCTTCCTCCCTCTTCTAGCTCAAAAGGTTCATCCAATTGTTGACAATGTGCCGAAGTAATTCCAGCAGTATTTGTAGAATTATTATTAAAACTAAATAATCCAGTAATATTTCCATTTGTTGTTGTTCCCATTTGCATTGTTGTCCCCATTTGCATAACCCTGAAAAGATTTTTTTCAAATATTTAAACAAAAAAACCAATGAGGAAATAAAAGAGGTGGTGAACCAAATGCAGAAGGATTAGGTGGAGTTGACCCGTAGAGAATGAGCGATGATGGTTGTTGAATTGGAATAGAAAATTGTGATGGAGGAGGAACTTGAACAAGATTATTTGAACCCAAATGATATGTTGGTGGAGATGAAGACAATAATACTCCTCCTCCATTAGTTCCATTGTTGTTAACTGCTTGATTGTTGAATGTTTGTGTTGAAGGATTGTTATCAAGCTAAATAGACAAAAAAATTTTTTAAATAATTTGTGAATGATGGATTAATTTTTAAGGGTTAAAGGGTCCTTTTAAAAATAATTTCAAACCGTGTATTCTGGATTTGAATTTCCGTTAAAGACAATAATTGATGGTCCACTCCCATTGTACAATGTTGGACTGCTTGATTGGTTCAAAATGAATGGCGTATTAGAAACTGGTAGAGGCTCGGATGAATCAATCTAATTTTAAAAAAATTTAAATTGCCAAAAAACAAAGAAAAATACTTTTTGAGGAACAGGCAACACAGGCAGAAATGTTGCTGGTAAATTTTCTTTAAAAAAATAGAAAAAAATTATAAAGAAAATTATTATTATAAAATTATAAAAAAATTATTACCAATAGAATCCCGTTGCGGAGAACCAACCAAACAATTCCCTTCTCCACATCTCATTGCCCCAAACGGAAATAAACCATTTGGAGATAAATTAAGTGGAGGTGCCAACGGTGGAGAAATAAAATTTGGAGGTGATCCCATTGGCATTGCAAAAGCAGATTCAACCAAATAATTAGCCAAACTGGGTGGTTGTGACATAATTGGCATTGGTGGAGGCTGTGGACGACAATCAACTTCAATTGATGCAGCTGGGCTCCAAAGTCGTGGTGGACGAAAATTCAAAAAAGTTTGCAATGGACGATCGGTATTATCACCATTATATTGCCGATTCTCATTGCTGACCAATTCAAGTCGTCGTTCCCGTCCCAAATTTCGGCTAAAATAATATTTTAAAAAGATTATTGAAAAGAAACTGCAACCAAGAAATGAACCTAAACTTAAGCCCAAAAATATACAAAATTTTCCAAAACCTTTAAAAAAGACAAAAATAAAACTTCACTTCAGTGTCAAAAAACTTTAAACAAAGTCTTGAGTAGGACCAAGAGCTTGTACGCTCAATTAAATAGCTTAAATAAAAAGTTCATGTCAGATTTTTTATATTGTAGTTTTTTAAAGATTATTAAAACCTCAAAGAATACTTTCAAAGTAATAAAAAAAGGGTGGGAAAATTTCAGAATGCAAATCTAAATAATAATTCAAACCTCTGAACAAATTTAGAATAAATCAATAGAATAGAATTTAAATGTCCTAGTGACTTTTCCATATTGCCAAAATCTGGACCTGTTAAGATTTCAATGAAAAATAATTTGTAAATCTAAACAAACTTTTAATATCTAATAACGCAGACAACTCATCAAAATGTCCAAAAATATTTATAATATCAAACAATTCTTTTTCTTTTGGCTGTTGGCTGACCAATTTTCGCAATTCGTCAACTGCATGAGTCAAAGAATTTTGACTTAAACGATCACAAATTGATTCTAAAAAATTTATTTTGAAACGAAAAATAATTTTTAAAATCATACGCATATGGGCTCGATGTCGAGAATCGCCTAATTAAAAAAATATTTTAACGAAAAATAATTTAATTAAAATATAACCATAAAGTAAAGAAGACCATTGATCTGGCGAAATTCTCAAACCTGCCTCCATTGCAATTTGAACAATTTGAGCATCATGTTCAGCACGTAATGCATCATAATCACGAAATTGATCTTTAAGATTCATCAAAGAGGATTGACCATCTCTTTTAATTACATTAAAGCAACTAGCACGATAAAGAAGTTGAACAACTTTAATAAAAAAAATTTTTGTTAATTTGGAAAAAAGGATGTTTGATTATTGAAATTTTATAAAAGTAAATAAAAGAAATTTTCCTGCTCACCATGCCCAACACAAGTTTTGGAAATTGTTGGATATTCATGTATTAATGTATCAACAACAAAAAGAACAAGTCTGAAAGATTTTAAACATTAATTCTTCAAATACATTTCCCAACAATTCATATATCAAAAGGGAAGAATTGTTCGGAAAGAGAAAGAAAGAGAGAATCACAAGCAATGAAGTGAATCTATACAAGTCTTATAAGTTTGATAAAACAACCATAGATTTTCGTTATAGAACAAATCAACACGTAAAAACCAGAAATTTGAAGAAGTGACAGACATCAAATCAGTTATAATAGATGATAACCATTACTCTAATCATTTTTATTAGTCATAAAAATTTTACGTTTTTCTTGCAATTTTCTCTCCATTCAACAATGCATGACGTACCAACTTCAAAACATCTTCCTGCAATCCTAAAATAAAAAATATTATTTAGTAAAAAATTGAATAAAAAAACCTGGCCCAAGAAATTGGCAACCTCTAGATCTAACAGCACTCCACAAACTTGAAGACAAATTTGAATTATTTTGAATATGCAAAACTAATTCAGAAATAATTCTTTCGCTCATAGAGCGAATTGTTTGGATTATTTGTTCTCTTCCTTCTTCTTTCAACAAATTTGCACAGAGAAGCGAAAGCAATTTTCTTTGAATAGTTCGTGATATTCGATTAGATGAAACTGTTGCCCCTTTCTCTGAATTGACTTTATACAAATATTCAACCAACGAGTAAAGAATTATTTCAATTTCATTTAGATTGGTAAATCCTTTTTTGCCATTAAATGATTTTAATGTGTCATTTAGCCAATCAAAATCATTTCTTTTTAGACCGGAGATGATAGAAAGTATTGGTCCATTTATGTAATGGAATTTTGCAGAAGAGGCTACCAAACTCTAAATTTTAAAGAGAATTAAAACCCGTTTTAACAAAACTTGATTTGTAAAATACACAAATTTAAAACATAAAAAGTTAAACCTTATCTAGAGGACAGACGATATTTTTTGTTTTAGTGCATCTCAAACACATTAGATGGCCACAACCAAGATTGACTGGAAGAACATCATTAGAGAAAATCTATAAATTTAGAATCAAGACTTGTACAAAGCAAATTCAGAAATAACGACATAAAATAAAATTTTCAAACTTACAGTTTTACATTTTAAACAACATAGCAATTCAGACCACTGAGGTTGACCACATGCAGGATACATTTTTGCAAAACTAAAAACATTAAAGTAAAATCGAAATTAAAATCAAAGAAAATATAAAAAATGAATTAAAAACAATTACAAAAAAATTTTTTTTTGAAATTAATAAATTATTTTATTCATTAAAAAATATTTTTCGATTCATAATTTAAAAAAATTGAAAAATCATTAGCTAAATTGTTTTTATGTTCCGGTTTAAAATTATTTGCTTTTTTCAAATTAAAAAGTCTTTTTAATAAATCTTCCATAATTGTTCCAGTACAAAAAATTAATTTAAAATTTGGTTTTGCCAATTTTCGAATTGTTTGAGCAACTTTAATAAAACATTCATCTGAGAGGAATGGAGGATCGGCAATAATAAAATCAAAATATTCATTAAATTGAATGTCAATATTTAGAGGGTTTCTGTAATCATAGTGAATAAATGAAGTTGGATATTTTTGCTGGAAACGTTTATCGTATTCAAATAACTTAACTTCAATCTGATCTTGTTTAAATTGCTGTAAAATTTTAAAAAAATTAAAATATATTTTAAGTTAAGCTTTCATTATATCCAACGTAAACATTACCTCGGCCTCCATAAAAGGTGCAATCAAAGAAGGGCATGAAATACAGGCAATTCTTTTTTTAATTTCAAATTCTAACGAACCAAGGCATTCACTGACAATATTAATGGATGTTTCATTTGCATACCAGAATTGACTTAGCTGAATAAAAATTAACTTTAAAAAATTGAAAACGATCTCTCGTTCAAACCCAAAATAAATTGTAAACATTTAGTTACCCAAAAAACCTTCAGGTTTTTGGAAAACATCTTTTAATAAGAAAACTTAATAAACCTGCCAATCTTCACTGATATTTACATCTACATCTTCCAACCTTTTCTTTGCAATAAATTCATTAAGGATTGCACATGTTTCAGGCGAAAGGGTTAAATCTTCTTCATTTTCTAAATTCATCTTAATTTGATTTTTGAACTAACAAATATTTAAAAAAAGCTGTGTATATATTAAAAATTAAAAGTAAATAAGTCTAATCAAAACAAATAAAAAAAAATAAATTTATATTAAAAAGCATAATATACTAAAGTTTGGATGTAAATGTATACAATAGAATATTTTTAAAAGTTTAAAGAGTAGTAGAAAAATCCAAAGCTAATAAAGTTTAGGAAACCTCTAATTGTTCTAATCCCTTCAGAAAATTTTATTAGTTTAATAGGAAAATGCTTAATCTATTTAAAAAAGAAGAGAGAAGGATGTTCATTTAGCATCAAGTAAACAATAAAAAAAGGAAATTTAAGTCAAAATGAAAATATTTGAATGAAGACATTTTATCCCATGGGTTCACGCAGTTCAGTTAAAGGTAGAATTTTATTTAAAAAAATATTTCAACTTGTGTCATTATTGATCCACTGTACTTTGAGCAATACCTCTCAAAAATTCAGTAATATTCCTTGGATCAAACCTTTCAATTAAATTCATTATTCGTCTTTCTGTAATAATATATCTCTTCTTTTTTGGTGGAGGGTCTTCTCCCATTAAAGAACGTTCAAAATCAGCGTCTCTTCCACGCTGCTCAGTTCGAAGTACTTCAATAAATCGCCAAATATTTGGGTTTGCACAACTAAATATTGTATGTAAACGGCGATATGCTGATTCAACATTTATATATTCAACATCATAAATAAGTCTATCATAAACATTCCAAAATTCTATTGGAAATTTTGCACGAGTCAAAGTTCCATCAGGAAGTGGTACACCAGTATAATTGAGCAAAAACCTTAAATAAATTTTAATAATAGTTTAAAGGATTACAGGGTTCTTATTGTTAGCTAGTAAAAATTCAGGTAAATTTAGAGTTTTTGATGGGGGTTTGAATAGAGGAGTTTAAACCAATGCTAGGTAACTCCTCTATTCATAACAACACCAAAGCTAGGTAACATACTCTGGTAATCGGTTTTAAAATGATTAAAAATGATGCGGAAATAGCTTTACGAATTTTTATAAGGAACTATTCTAATGTAATAAAACTCAAGAAGAGATACAAATTCATAATACATCTTATTCACAAAATATTAAAATATACCATCCGATAAATTGGTCTAGCTCAGGCAATATAGCAGCATTCAAATGTTGAATTGCGTTAGTTAAATGTGGAACAGGAACAAAAGCAAGTCCAGTAAACATTCTTACACATTCAGCAAAAACAGGGTCACTTCGATATTTCTTTAAAAAACAATAATTTCAAAAACAAAATTTGTTTTTAAAAACCTGAATTAAATCTTCCTCCGCAAGACGTTTTCGAATATTACGAAAAAGATGGAAAAGACATCCATTAAGTCGAATATTTGGAAAAATTGTTTTAACAGCATCAATAATTGGTTGATCAAAATCTAATGACATTAATGTTGGATTAAAATCAGGCCATTCAGTTATAATCATTTGAAACATTTTCTCATAAATACCACGAGTTTTGCCCGTCAGAAGACAATAGGCAATAGGAAATATCCATTTGCCTCGCCTTTAAAACAAATTTTTTTAGATATTTAAAAAGGATTTTGTAAAATCATTTATGTTTGAGCAAAAAAGGGGAAACTGGAAGAAAAACAAAACATTTATTTTTAGGATGTTGTGTCAGACCCCGCTTATTGTTAGATTGTCTCCTAAACAGCTTCAACCTAGTATTTAAACCATAATATAAAATATTAATGTCAACCTGTCAAATATCTTAAGATATAATTAGATAACCTTGTAAGTAAAGCATAAACTTGAACAAAAGGTGGAGGAACTACAGCAACAGCAAAAGAACCATCAGCAAATACTTCATACATTGAATTAGCCCAGGTTACATTAGAAGCTTTCGAAAATATTAAAATTCTAAAAAAATATTTTCAAAAATAATTTTTTAAAAAGAAACCTGTGTTCTTTTGTTTGATCATTTTCTAATTTAAACATTCCAGAATCAGCAAGAAGAAATTTTTCGAATTCACATCCTTCACCTCGAATATAAAATTGAAATTCTTTTGGAATTTCAAGCTCTTCGACAGCACTTGGAACAGGTGGGAGCGGTTTAGTTCGTTTACGAACTCTTCTAATTGACTAAAAATAAATATTTTATAAAAAAAATAGAAATGAGAAAAAAAAAGAAAAATGAAAAAAAATCAAAGTCGCATTAAAATTCAAAATAAAATATTAACTATATAAAAGTTTCTTTCTCGTTCCCTTTCAGTTCCCAGTTAGTATAGTGGTTAGTATCCGCGCCTGTCACGTGCGAGACCCGGGTTCGATTCCCGGACTGGGAGGCAAATTTTTTTCACATTTCTAATAAATATTTATTCAAAACATTTAATTATATTCTGCTCGGAATTTTATTTTAATTTTTTGGAGGTGAATTAGTGTCAAGAAAAACAAAATTTTTACCTTCTTCTCTTCTGAATTATCTCCCACATCCCCAACTTCCAATTGATCATCAGAATCATTTTTTATTTGTTTATTTCTTTTAGCTTCAACCATAGAAATAGCCTCATGTGTATGTTCTGTAACCATTTTTATAAAATTATTGTCTGGATCAGTATGAATTCTTCCACGACATTCATTTTTCCTTTCACATCTCCAAAATTTAATTGTGTCGATTGCATTGTTTTTTTCGAAGATGTAAATAAATCCATTAATTTCTAATTTTTCTTTTTTACGTTTTGATAAAAGTTTAGAATCTGGCTCTTAAAAAATATAAAAATATTTAGTTGATATAAGTAAAAAATCTAAGGAAAAAGAGGAAGGGTGACAGACTTTATTTTTCAATAATTTTTTTTAAAGAAATAAATTTTTAGCAGTTATTGAAAAATAAATATTGCGATTCCCTCACTATTCAAGGGGATTCCATATAGGAAAATCGGAAGATCAAAGGTTTACAAATTAAACAACAAATTTCTAAGGATACAAAAATTTAAAGTATTTGAAATTATCATCCCAGTATATTTTTATGTGTGGAAAGGGGCAAGGTGAATGTTGAATTTAAAGTACTCATTTTTGGTTGTCAGAGAAAACAGGTAAAAATGAAAAAAGTGAAACGGGTTTTTTAAAGCTAAAATTCCCTAGATAATCCCAATTTAAATAAAAGCTATACCATCCTCGAAACAATGACTCATAGAAAATTTCATCGAAAGTTTTTCCTTCTTTGGACGTTTTGGAGTTACTTTTGAAGTTGACGTAGCTGGATATGAATGATCTCTTTAAAAAAATTTTATTTTAAAAATAAATTCAAATTAAAAAACAAACAATTCTTGTGGTTGGGCATTATGATGAAAATTAGCATCACCAAGAAAATTATCTCCTTCAGAAGCACCTAATTGCTGATATGCT